CTATCTAAGATGTCAAAATCATCTCCTCTACCCACTGTATCATTACCTTGTTTTAATTGTTAACTTTCCCTTCCCCCTAAAATTACATGTCCTGTCTTAGTTACTTTTTACTTGTTGCTGAAACAAAATACCTGATGACCAAAGTTGGGAAAGAAAAAGTTTATTTCTTACAGTTTTTGGAGGTTTCAGTCCATACTCAGCTCCAAGGCAGGGTGGCATGGCGGGGCTTCAGTTCATGGTGGCTGCAAACAGCAAGCTGGAAACTAGCAAGAGAGAGTGACACACCTTCTTTCTGCCATTACATTGTACGCTGGCTCCACCCATAGGTGGGTGTGGCACTGACACTATCAATCCAAGCACTAGACAATGAACCAATCACAAATGCACAATGCAAATGCATGAGGCCTAGGGGCCACCAACATAAACCATGACATGTCCCAAAAAGGGTGGGTACACTATTTTGTACACTGCTGTATCCCCAGTGCCTAGAACCACAGCTGCCAGTTGGTAGGTTCCCAATAAATTATTCTATTGCAGTCTAGAAAAATTACTCTGGTATCCCCTTGTGTCAGGTGATTTAAAGGAGTGAGACTGAAAGCAGGGAAAAGATGAGTACAAACAAAGAGTACAAGCAATGAGGATGGACCAAGTCTAGAAAGCTCAGAGGTCTGGTAGAGTGGGGAGGAGCTGTTGACCAGCGAGGTGTGGAGGAGCTGGTGATCAGCTAGGTGTAAAGGGTTAAAAGAGAAGCTTTGACCGGTGTGATAGGTGAATTAATAGGAAGAGAAGAAATTTTGAGGAAAATTGTATCTTTGTTATTTACTACTGTATAACAAATAAGCAGTTTAAGACAACTTCCATTATCTCACAGCCTTTGTGGATCAAGAATCTAGGCATAGCTGATAGCCGTTGTCCTTAACTCCTTCAAAAGACTATAATATATCTGTTGGCCAGGGCTGCAGCCCTTTCAAGGCCTGAATGGGGAACGATCTTCCTCAAAATTCATTCACAAGGCTCATAGCAGGCCTCAGGCCCTCTCTGGAAGTTGCCTGGAGAAATCCGCTCCTTGTCACTTGTGCGTTTGCATGGAGTGGCTCACTACATGAAAGGTGGCCAACCTCAGAATGAGAGAAAACATCCCAAGATGGGAGCCGCAGTCTTTCTACAACCTAATATTGGGAGTGACAGCCCACCATTTCTGCCCTGTTGTGTTTACTAGAAACAAGTCTCTAGGTGCAGCCCACACTCAAGTAGGGTTGGAGGCAGATTCTAAGAAGGCATGAATACCAGCTAGGAGATGAAACTTGGAATTGTGTTAAAAGACTGTGACTTTGAACATGTTTAATTTGAGGAGTCTGAGACTTCCCATTTAGAAATACTCTGGATGCAGATGGTTGTGCAGTTCTTAGGCTCTGGAGAGAATCCATTCTTCGTAGAGCACAGCTTGGAGTCTTTTCATAAATTTACAACTAGTGGTTCAGGGCCCTTTGTCTCCAAACTGATCTGACGCTTCTAGAGAAAAGATGTTTTTCAGCCCCCACCCTGCAGATCATTCAGGTGGATGCTCAATATATAATTGCTGGCTGAGTTACCAAGGAGGCAGTTTCACAAGGCTGAAGTTACCAAGGCATCACAGGGTTTGACAATGTTGACAGTAATCCACTGGGCAACTCTTGCTCTGTCACCCACAGTCTGCTGGGGAGACTTGAAGAGAAGTCTTACCCTTTGTACACTGTAGGTCCTCATCAGCCTAGAGTGGACTAGATTAGTGGTCTTTCAAAAATGTAAAGGTTTCGCCTCAGGTCCTCGGGATGTTAAAATAGGTAAAAGTTGGTTTGCTCTAGCTGGCTTCCTTTTTGTTTCTCCAGAAAGAATCCATTTTGAAAAACAGCAGATAAGGTAAATTAATTCCCCTCCCTCCTTTCTTTCTTTCTTTCTTTCTTTCTTTCTTTCTTTCTTTCTTTCTTTCTTTCTTTCTTTCACCAGTTCAGATTCAGATATTCTGAGACTTTATGGCCAGATCCACAGTAAGTTCAACCTAGTTCTGTGATTCTGCTAAGATCCATTGGTGCTGAGTATTTCATTAAATTTCTTTTTTTTTGGTCCTGGGGATTGAACTTACAACTGCACGGTTACAAGGCAGGTGCTTATGCCAACTGAGCTAAATCCCCAGCCCTTCATTAAACTTTTGAAAGGAAAATATTCATATTTTCTTCAACTTGTGAAAAAATAAATCTGACTTTAACTAAACACTTACTAGGTATCAAACACTGTGCAAAATATTTTTCACTGCATAATCTTTATTTGATCCTGTCTCCACCACTAGACTATAAACTCCAAGAGAAGAGGGAATTTGTCTAACTCACTGTGATATTTCTGACAGCCAGAATAGCTCTTACACCATAAAAATCATTCAGTAAATATTTTATTAATGAATGAGTTAAGTTTAATAAGTACTATTCATATTTCCATTTTATAGTGCAGAGATTGAGTCTAGATTTACTAAGTTGCCTGTAGTCACACAAGTTAAAAACAGAATTTTTTTTCTTTCTTTTCACTTCTTTCTTTTTTAGTACTAGGAGTTGAATCCATGAGTACTCTACCACTCGATCTACACCCCCAGACCATTTTACTTTATTTTTAAATTTTTGAGACAGGATCTCACAACGTTGCTGAGATGGGACTTGAACTCCTACCTGAGCTTTCTCCAGTGCCAGGATTATAGGTGTGCACCACCATACCTGGTTTAAAGCCATTTCTTGGTAGGACTCACAGGAAACTGGAAAGGGAACTAGATTATACCCATTACCTTCTATGTGATAAACATAGTCCTAGGCACTACTTTTCACTTCTGTTATCAACAGCTCTCCAAGGCAGCTATGTTGTTTTATTTTTTAGATGAGGCTTGGAGAGGCTGAGCACCTTACCTAAAACCTAGCTAGGGTAAGAGACTGAGCTGAGATCATGGCCCATGTCCTTCTGACTCCAAAGCTTTCCTATACAAGACCCAACACATTAAAAAGCATGCTTCAATGTTAGAATCTGGAAAATATAACATTGATGGATACAGGTCAGCATGGTTCATTAGGTCTTGCTAGCCACTTCCCCAGCTCCAGCATCTCTGCGGCTTTGGATTCATGAATGCGCTGGCTGTGGAGCTAAGAAGAGCTCAGCAGACTGAGAAAGTAGAAGTCCAAATTTCTAAGCTGTGGCTCCAAGTAAGAGCTGATGGCTGAGGATGATAAACGCGGGCACAGCAGCCTGCTGTCCTGTGTAGCCTCATCAACATCAGACCAGACCATCAAGTTAGACCGATGATGTCACCAGAGCCTCTTAAAGGCCTCATCACTCATATCCACTTGTCATATATTATTAAGCAGATCTATAATGCATGTAACATTTTCTACTGAATTTCCATTCCTTCCTTTTCATGACCAGGGAAAGAAAAATAGAGTGAGGATGACTTTTTCTAACTTTTCATCCTTATTGCCCTTCATTGAAACAAAACTACTTCTTGAATCATTCCCAAAAATGGTCATTCAGGCTTTCATTTCATTAATATAGATGAGGCTTCAGTTTAATAATTATCATTTAACTAATGCATATTCTATATAGACAAGTAAATGGATTCCCCTCATCTTTTCTTCTGCAGTTCCACAGAGGAAGCAAAATCTACAACCATATCTTTTTCTTTTCTCTATTCTCCACATTATTTTTTGAGACTTTGGGGTTATATCAATTATACTAGAAACTTTCCACATTATCACTTCTCGCGAGATAGTGAGAGTCCTTCTAGGAATCTAAAGGCCTTGTAGTCTGAATCTCATTAGGTGCAGCAATCTTGAGGTTGAGAAGTTATCCAAGTGAAGGGCTGTTGAAAGCAGAGAGAGCCAAGGTGCTCATGGTGGCTGGACCCAATGGTAGGTCTTGGAAGCAATTAGAAGAAGCCAGAGGAGCTAGAAGGCAGAGCCTCACTGGAGGCAGGCAGCATGCTGAGTTCAAGAGCAAGTGTCCAACAAAGAGTGCGGGGGCGGGGGTGAGCCCTGAAGGTGGGCTGTCTTTATGGTTGTGTGGCCCATGGAGGCCTTGCATGGGGCCCCACATGCAAGAGAGCTTTGAGACTAATTTTATTCTTTGTCTCCATCATGAAATTATTAGTACTTTTCAAAAAAGGAGCCCACCTTGTCATCTTGTACTGGGTGGCACATCATATATAATCTGTCCTGCTTGCATGTGAAAACCAGCTGCCTAGGCAGTGCTGGGGAAATGCATGACCTTCCTGAGACTCAGTTTCTGCTCCTGTGAACCTGAAAGCATAGCTCCTCCTTCGAAGATATCATCACGAGAACTCAATGTCATTATGAACCATTAGTGCATTGTGGAGTAATTGGTACCTAGTAGGTGCCCAGCAGTATTCTCTCTCCTTAGCTAAGAGAGCACATCAGAATTATCTGGAGATTTACTGTTTTCCAAATACACTTGGTTGGGTTCTATTCTGAGCAATGCCAGCTCGGGAGGTGTGGGGTAGAGACGTACTCGTTTTGAAAGGTCCCTTATATGATACTCATACATACTGCTGGTTGAGGAAGACAGTCTTAGGTTTTTAGAGACCTAGAAATGAAGCAATTTAATAAAGGAGAGCAGCAGAAAAGGCAGAGGGAAAAATTGATGGACTACTACTATCTTTAACATAATAAAAACCTGTTAAGGAGGAGAGAGATTATCATTTTATAGCACTTCAGATGACACGGATAGTGTTGAAATGCACCATGGGAACACATCCCATTAGCAAGGTTTCTATAAAATTCTCTGCTATCCATTTGGATTGACAAGTATACTCAGAGAAACAAGGACTACAGACCAGAGAAGCTGGGGTCGAGGCTAAGCTTGATTCTGAGTTTGAATTTAATTTTCCCTTGATGGTCCTAATACCATACTTAATTCCTGAAAAGAAACTATGGTTAGAGGAAGTAATTCTGAAGCATGCTTATTCTGCCCAGATTTTAGGTTTTGACATTCTTCTGATGAAAAATCTGAAGCCTATGCTACTTGAAGTTAATGCAAATCCCAGCATGAGAATCGAACATGAGCATGAAGTAAGTATTTTGAGCAACTCATTGACTATATGGCTATAGAACAAAGTGTTTCTACTCTCAAAGTGCCCATCTGGCTGCACAAGACTCAGCATTCTCAAATTTTCACAGTGAAGTTCTGTTCAAGTCAAATAATTTTAGTTCTGTTGAACTCTAAACAGAGTCTATTAATATAAGACCTTTCCGACCTATGGTAATTTCCCAGCATGCCATTCTTCTCATTTTTAAGGTCTGGAAACTTAGAAGCAGCTGAGCCTTTCCATCAGTTTTGACATGAACTAATTAGTTAGCCTCAGGAGATGAACTAATTGAAATTCTATGAATATGATTTAGCCATGTCGACATGCTTGAATCACTAAGATAAATAGTACATTTAAGAGTGGTTATATGTTTCTCCACCTAAAAATGCATTTAAAAACCTGGAAGGAAATACACTCAATATTAACGTTGGACTTGGAGTTGATGGGGGGGGTGGTGTGGAATATTTTAATTTTCTGAATGCTTTTCTATATTTCCAGCTTTTCTGCAGTGAACATGCATAATCTTGATAATCCAAAAACACATTGTTACTTCTTCCTCTTCAGGTATTTTGTAATTAATAAGAGGAAATTGACATTTTTAAAGGTAGTACTATAAGGAGAGGGTTAAAAATTCCTTTCTATAGATTAGCCCAGGCAAAACTAGCAGTATAACTGCTTGGTTAGTTAGAGGATGGCACACTGATGGCTGCTTGGCACCAAAGCACGATCCTCCTGTAACACAAAATCCTTACCCATTCAAGCTTTCTCCAGGCGTGTTTGAAAATGTCCCCAGCCTGGTTGATGAAGAGGTGAAAGTGGCTGTGATCCGAGACACACTGCGTCTCATGGACCCACTGAAGAAGAAAAGAGAGAACCAGTAAGTATTCATTATGCCATTCATTTCTACTAACTCTGCCGTGTATCCTAAGCAGATGAGTTAAGTTCTTAGAACCTGTTAACACGTGAGATGCACATATTAAACAGTTACATTTTGTAAGTATCAGCCACCAAATAACAAGTGACTTAAAATGAGGAGTGATCACACAATTTCCCAACAAATTGTTATCCAAATCAGGAAAGTCTCTTCCGACTTCCCACTTCCCTTCCGCAAAAGAATCTCCATTTGCCCACTACTGTTCACTTGCTACTTTACTTTAAAATCCTCAAGCGTAAAAAGAGTAAAATAAACTACAGAATAGCTGAATGTGGAGTTTCCTCCTTTTGTTTCTTCACAGTCTAAGCTTTTAGTTTCAAATTGTGCAGAACCAATGTAATGAACTTCTGATTCTTGTATCATATTTGTAACACTTGTAATTCTTCTCCATCCTCAGCCACCAAGTGGCACATTATATGGGATGTAGGTGGGTGGGTGTTCCCTACCTCTGCCTCTACAGAAGTGAATGACATTTCACTAGGGCATTTTGTTCATGCTGTTTTTACCAAGTCCCAGGCTTTCACAAAGTAAATATAACTGTACCTATGTTTTGGGCAGAAAAGTTTGAAGAAAGGCATTTCACACAGCACCTCTCACAGTGCTGAAAATCAGGTTGACTCCAGTGCTCCCCAACATCTAAGACTTTGTCGATGATGTGTCATGACTGGGAGAAATGCAGACTTCCCTGGAGCAAGTGATGTTTTTGAAGGTTGCTCTACTGAGGCTCCTGACCAACTCGGCTCCAACCCAAATACTTTTAGCGTCACCCTATGGGAGTGCTTCTCACACCTGGCTGCACATGAGAACCATCTGTGGGGCTTTCAAAAATACCAGAGCACCTCTGCTTCTAAAGATGCCAATTTTAATCAGCCTAGGCTGGAGGCCTGGCCACAGACATGTTTAGGTTCTCCGGGTGATTCTACTGTGTAGCCCAGGCTGAAAAACAACTGCCCTGCAGAAATGTTACACGGATGACACCTACCCAGAAGAGTCCTTCCTGGAAGCATTCTTCACCACACGGGGCATGTGCTGCCGTTGTTGGCAAGATGCCGCTGAGAATGTGTACCTGTGGTTTGCATAGGCTAGTGCTGCCAGGTGTGGTTCCACCAATTAGGTCTGCAAAGTGGCAGTGTGTCAGGGCTGCCAAGTCCTCTGAGTAACTCAGATGCGACAGTTACTGAGTAATGTACCCACCAGTAAGAGCAAGGGGCTGCTTTCTCTAGCTATCCCTTAGGGAAAGCGGTGGTTAGTTGCAATTTAGGTAGATTAATTGCAATAAAACCCATTCCTCAAAAAAAATCTATTCTCTAACAGTTATTGATCTCACCAGCAGAAATGAGGTCATAAGAGACAGTGCATGCTCTGGGGAGACTCGGGTAACTTCCTATGCCAGTATAGGATATGGCAGTAGAGTTTATTTGGGGATGATTGACACACTGGCATTCTGATTCCTTTGGTGCAAACAAGAAATTCAGTATCTGTCGTGTGGGCTGAGCCTTCTTAACCTCTGCCACCATACATGAAGAGGTGGAAGGTTTCCATTGTATTTCACATTAAATAGAAACAAAATTATCTTTCTTTTTCTTGTTCTAGTTGTTTTCCCTTACCTGCGCCTATAAAATCTATATGAGTTGCAGGTCTGAAATTTAATAGCGGTAAGGCACCAGGCCATCGATTGGGAAGGATGAAAAAGGCATTTTCCAACTTATCAAGCCATAAGTAGCAGCATCTCATTTTTAATTTAAAAAGCATTGACTTTTTTATCGATAACTAGAACCAGTTAGAACTTCAAGGACCTGACTTCATTTCTAATATAGAATCCCTTTCATCTCACCCCCTCTTTTTAAACTACAACATGAGAATGTATGTTAATAGCTAAATGCCATTTACTGATCTTTTTGTTAATTTCTCTTTATTTTATTTTTTACTCAGCAGTGGATATTCATGAAAGCATTTTGTAATCTGTAAAACCATTTATATGTAAGGGATCATTTTTTTTTTCATTTTGATAACTTTACCATGCGGACGAAAAGGCTGAAATCCTTTTCAACTCCTTTGTATAGAAATTCTTCAGAATAACCCGAAAGTACCAGATTTATTGCCACAGAAAATGCATAGTGCTGTGGTGCTGAGTCTTCTGAGTCCAGTGCTGAGACCATATCATTCCAGTGGCACGGAATGATGTCACACAGATCCTAGCTGGAAGCTGCCTTTAGAAGCAGTTTCTTAAGATTGCATAGAATCTAACTAAACCTTTTAAAGCAAATACTGGGCAAGACTTTTCCTTCAACTCTTTAGCAAAAGAGGGTACAAAGGAGCCCTCTTTAATTCTTTCTTGGGGACTGTTTGCTATCAGTATTGCTGAAGTGGGTCTTTACTTGCTCCCACACAGATTAAAAAATGAATATCCTGAGCACCCTCAGCTCCCAAAATGCTCTAGAAAGGTGTAAAGGAGCCCCAGACATATATCCATGTGTCATACATTTCTGCAAAATCCTTGGGTCTTGTAGCCCAGGTCAGTTTCTTGTTGGGACGGAGAGCAGTCTCTGGGTATTCTTCAGGGGAGGAACTTGACCTTGCAGATTATGTTCACTTTGGCATAAAGTGTTTTCTTTTGAGCTGACATTGAAATCCTGACCCTGTTGTCAGCTGGTGGTAAGAAACTGGGGATGTTAAATAGCTGTTTTGAGGCTCAGTATCCTTTTCTATGTAATGGGACAAAGGCATCTAAATGAAATGATAAGAAAACCTTGAGAAATCAATGCAAAAAACATGCAGGCACTTTATTGTGCTTATTTTACTGAACAATAATAGCTATGGACATAAACAAAAAAATAATGGTTAGTTGTTTTTCTCTTTCTTGGTCTACTTAAAAGTGCAATTTTGAACATAAATCTAAAACATATCCTAAAACTGGAGCTGTGGGGTTCTCATGGACTAGAATTGACATTGTAATTGATTACCAGTGTGAGGCTCTGTTGCCAGGTGGCAAGATGTCTGGACCATACTTATTTGGTGGGCTAGGAGAAATTATCTTTGGTTCCCAACAGAGAATGACAGCTGTCCCATGAAAGCTAGTTTGACTATGGTGATGTTTTGTAGTATCTTGTGACTTAGCTGATTTTCATCCAATGTGCAGTGGAGGCACTATAGGAATACAGGAAAAGGGAGGCTGATACAGTGCGATTCTGGAAGTATCTATGTGGAGATAAAGCTCATGTATTGTATAAATAAACATTTAAAATTGTACAGCTTGTAGGCAAGGGAGATAGCTCAGTGATAGAGTGCTTGCCTTAGGGACTAAGTTCAGTCCCCAGCATCCTGCCACGCCCCAAGTGTATGATTCAGTGACATTTAGTGCATGCATTGTGTTGTGCAACCATCACTGCATCCAGCTCAAATATTTTTGTCACTCTAAAAGAAATGCCATCCTGTTAGGCAGCCTCTCCATTTCCCTTCCTCCACATCTGCTGGCAACTATCTATCTGATATGCATTTCCTATTTTGAATATTTTATGTAAATAATATAGAACATGCTGCCTTCTATGATTGGCTTCTTTCATTTAGCACCAAGTTGTAACATGTGTTTCCATTTCATTCCTCTCAATAGCTAAATACCAATCTGTTACATAGATATAAAAATTTTAGTGTCCAGTTGTCAGTCAATGGACATTTGAGTGGAAGCCATCCTTTTTTCAACCAGACGTGTGTTAATCTGTTTCATATTTTGATTCTCTTCATTAGCATTCATTAAAAGGAAGGGGTCTTTCAGCGACAAGAAGTTATTGGAACTTCTGCTTTAATACAACTCTGCATTTTATTGAGAAAAGCACAGGTCTTAGAAATCATCATGCCAATCATTTCTCTGGAACAAGAATCTCCCTTGTAAGCAACCTTGACGGAAGAGTGGCACATGTCCATACAGGTAGTGAAGGTGGCGTCAACCAGGTGTGAGGTGAGGTCCTTAGTCTCCAGTCATCGTGCTATGAGCTTGGCCAAGTCATTTTGTTTGTTCTCTGATCTTGTTTGTCAAATGAGAATCAAGGGACCTCCTTGGCTGGATTGTCATGTTTGTGTTACAAAATGACACATGAGAGAGAGAGAGAGAGAGAGAGAGAGAGAGAGAAACTTATGAAAGCTATTCATTAGGCAAACGCTGTTTGTTAGGGTCACCAAGTGATCAGTTGGACTTTATTTTAAAATCACGCTGATGGTGACAAGTAACTCACTAGCTTCTGAGGTAGCTACTGGAGTTGTGATTCTTTGCCCTGAACCGTGTACGAGAAACTAAACTGGGGGAAAGTAAGGTAACCTGTCTGAAGTCACAAAGGTCATTAGCAGCAGAGCGGAACCTGGCTCAGGTCTCCTGACTTCAGCCCCACTGTTTGCCTTGCTTTCTACATTGGTGCAGTGGACTCCAGTTTCTACTGCACATTCAAAGATAGCTTCAAAGATGAGAGAAAATATAAGGAAAAAATCAACAGAAAATGTCATCTCTTCTCAAGGTATTTGAGCAAACTAAGTCTTTCTTATTGAAAAACTTTTATCAGAAACAAAGTGAATACATTGCATTCCCCAATTATTTTTTCTTTTTCTCATTGAAGGTGGTTTGGAAATTCTCCAATTATTTTTATGACAATTGATTCATTTTTCTGGAAGGTCCATTTGCCCTGCGGAAGTCATTTTATTAGTATTGTGCTCCTTTTCCTAAACATAGATATTTCTGGTAACTGGACCTCTTTCTTATAACTCATAACCCTTTAGGAACTCAGGATAATATAAGTGAAGGCAGAGAAAGGCTTGGAAAAAATCTAAGGGGGTTTCATGATCATAGTGACTGGGAACTGGGTTATAGACAGCTTGTCATGCATTCAGGTAAGATTGGGTGCATTCAGGGTGGTATGGCCATAGGCAGTTTGTCTTGTATTCAAAAGTGTCCATTT